TTTTAATATAACTTGGCACACAAGTAGACTACACTTAGATACATAATTCTGTGTATCGGTTTTTGATTTCGATGAACGGTGTTGCCAAGGTTACTAATAATAGATATTTCTGTGAAATTCTATCAAAATGCTACTCCTTTTACAGTTTTGGTCTGATTTCAAAATAACTTGGCACACAAGTAGACTACACTAAAATACATAATTCTGTGTATCGGTTTTTGATTTCGATGAATGCTGTAGCCGTGGTTACTAAAAATAGACGTGGTTACTAAAAATAGAAATTTCTGTTAAGTTTTTTCAAAATGCTACTCCTCTGACAGTTTAGGTCTGATTTCAATATGCTAGTAACTTGCACACAAATAGACTACACTTAGATACACATATATCGGTTTTTGATTTCGGTGAACGGTGTTGCTATGGTCACTAAAAATAGAAATTTCTGTGAATTTGTTTCAAAATGCTACTCCTCCTACAGTTTTTGTTTGATTTCAATATAACTTGTCACACAAGTAGACTACACTTAGATGCACAATTCTGTATATGGGTTTTTACTTCGATAAATATTATTGCCTTGGTTACTAAAAATAGAAATTTCTATAAATTACTCTCAAAATGCTACTTGAAATACAGTTTTAGTCTGATTATAATATAATGTGGCATGCAAGTAGACTACACTAAGAAAATAAAGAGACTTTATCAACGAAGTTTAGGGGGTATATAGGAATCACCTTGTCCGTCTGTCCGTCCAGCTGTCTGTCTAGCTGTCCGTTTTGTCCATCGTCCAGCTGTCCGTCTGTCTGTGTAAACGTGTCCAGTCCATATCTTTCTTACTGCGGAACATTAGAACCTACTACTCCACACAAAGATTGCCCATGATTCAAGGGTGTGTAATGACCTTGACCCAAGGTCATTTGGGGAAGTTCAAGGTCACTGGAAGTAAAAGTTCATAATTCGTGTCCGGTCCATATCTTTATGGATAAACTTGGTAGGTTCTCATTTCACACAAAGATTGCCCATGACTTAAGGGTGTGTCATGAACTTGAACCAAGGTCATTTGGGAAAGTTCAAGGTCACTGGAAGAAAAAGTCCATAATTGGTTTCTGGTCTCTATGGATAAAATTGGGAAGTTCTCATTTCACACAAAGATTCCTCATGACCTAAAGGTGTGTCATGACCTTGACCCAACGTCATCTGTGCAAGCTTAAGGTCACTGAAAGAAAAATTGTATAATTCATGTTTGATACGTATCTTTATTCTGGAAAACTCTGAAAAACCCAGTGGGGGGTATTTAGTCCCGTTATGGACAGTTCTAGTTCTATTTATTGCTGTTGTAAAGTTTCATTACTGCATAAGTGCTTTTCTCTTCCTTTGCTATAAGTACAAAGTAGAGCTTCAGTCTCGACAGAAACTTCTGGTTCTTCATAAATTAATTTCGTTTTTCTTTATTTGATAATTTATTTTCTCTTTATTTAACAATTTCTTTTCTCTTTATATAATAATTCCGTTTTTCTTTATATATTAATTTCGTTTCTCTTAATATATTAATTTCGTTTTTCGTCATTTAATGATTTCGTTTTTCTTTATTAGCTCTACTAGTCAGAGACCAGAAGAGCTTATGCGATAGTCATTCGTCCGGCGTCCGTCCGTCTGTACGTTGTCTATCTGTAATCAATTTTTCAAAATGCTACATTTCCTACTGTTTTGGTCTAATTTCAATATAACTTGGCACACAAGTAAACTACACTAAGATACATAATTCGGTTTTTGATTTCGATAAACAGTGTTGCCATGGTAACTAAAAATATAAGTTTCTGTGAAATTCCTTAAAAATGCTACTTCTCCTACAGTTTTGGTCTGATTTCAATATAACTTGGCACACAAGTAGACTACACCAAGACACATAATTCTGTGTATCGGTTTTTGATTTCGATGAACGGTGTTGCCGTGGTTACTAAAAATAGAAATTTCTGTGAAATTCTTTCAAAATGCTACTCCTCCTACAGTTTTGGTCTGATTACAATATAACTTGGTACACAAGTAGACTGCACAAAGATACATAATTCTGTTTATCGGTTTTTGATTTTGATAAACGTTGTTGCCGTGGTTACTAAAAATAGAAATTTCTGTAAAATTGTTTCAAAATGCTATTCCTTCTACAGTTTTGGTCTGATTTCAATATAACTTGGCACACAAGTAGACTGCTCTGAAATACATTATTCTATACATAGGTTTTTGATTTCGATGATTGGTGTTGCCGTGGTTATTTAAAAATAGAAACAGAATTTTTTTTTTCAAAATGCTACTTCTCCTACAGTTTTGGTTTGATTTCAATATAACTTGGCAAACAAGTAGACTACACTAAGACCCATAATTCTATACATCGGTTTTTTTTATTTCGATGAATGGTGTTGCTGTGGTTACTAAAAATAGAAATTTTGTAAAATTGTTTTAAAATGCTACTCCTCCTACAGTTTTAGTCTGATTTCAATATAACTTGGCACACCAGTAGACTACACTAAGATCCATAATTCTGTATCTCTGCTTTTGATTTCGATGAACGGTGTTGCCGTGGTTACTAAAAATATAAATGTCTGTATAATTGTTTCAAAATGCTACTATTCCTACAGTTTTAGTCTGAATTCAATATAACTTAGCACACAAGTAGACTAAGTAAGAACACAAAGAGACTTTATCAAGGATCATTATTCTTTTTATTGCTGTTGTTAAGTTTCAAATCTCAACTGTTATCTTTCTCTTCCTTTGCTATAAGTACAAACCAGTAGAGCTTCAGTCTCGACAGAGACTTCTGGTTTGATAATTTCGTTTTTTTTATTTTTTTTTTTTATATTAATTTTTGGTTTCACTACGGGGGCCCGTAAGATTAGATTTAGCGCATTTCTTAATGTTCTCTTTCATGCATATATGTGCAAGTATGTATACGTAAGCTGCCCTTTTATTCGTTGTCTGCCATTGCAACGCTGTGTAGCAATAAATCAAATGAACCGCGCAAATAAATTACATCCCGACGATTTATGACAAGTTTTACCACGGATGAAGTACATGACGAGTTCACCAACGGGTATGCGGAGATGCAATATTTGTTGTTATTAATTAAGATTTGCAAGCATCTTAATACTTTCCCCCTCGTGAAAAGAACAGTTCAGTAAAACCAATTAAAGTATAATTTATTGTTTAAGTTAATTTTTCATTATACTAAACGATTTTACGTTAATTTACGTAAATAATTTTTTATCATATAGAGAGCACCATCAACTAGTGAAAGCTTCATATTTAAATCAATACACGGCACTCGGGTGCATAGTGAAGGCGTTTTATTGTGCGAGGACAACTTGACACGGGTCCTCAAAAAATCCTCAGAAAATCGTCTTTTATACTTCAATCGACCCTTTACATATGTATCATACGAAATTTACATACCTCTGTATATGTAGTTTTTATAAATATGAGAACCAATAAAATACATTTTAAGGTGTTGGCCTCAGATATAATTTGTCAATGGAATTTTAAATTTTAAAGGAAACTGTAATTTGTCTTATAATAAATTATTTTTTTCATTACAGGAGTGTTTAAAGTTCTTCGATGATTTTTTGGACTTATTTGATGGAAGGGATGACCTTCAGAGGCATTTACACACAGAGAGAATATTTTTCATCAAATTTCCAAAACCTGATCAAAATTGGAGGATGTTAACGACATAAAGAGATGCATTTCTACTTTTCCAGAGCACATTTGGAGGAAAATGTTCGATCAGCCTGGGCTATATTTGAACAAATCGTTGAAAAAGAAAAGCAAGTAAAAAAAATAATGTTAATGGGCGATCTTTTAAAGAAAATAATTTTTAAAGCCCGAGTTTCAAATGAGTGAAGAGGAAATTACAAATATGCTACTGTTTTTAAAATAGAGTAGGGGCTGTGTTGTACATAGATGATGAAAACGTAAACGATACCATCATTCTTGATGTACAATGGTTTGTGAATGCATTTAAATACATCATCACAGATTCAGTAAGTGTGCTTAAAGCAACAGATAAAGATCGTGAAAGATTTTATAATACCGGTGTATTATACGATGATGAACTTGAAGAAATATGGAGAAATCACTACGAAGACAATAGCGATTTTTTTACTCATAAAGCAAAAATTCTTTCCTTTATGGAACAGCTTGGTTTACTCGCAGTTTGCTCTCCCGAACAAACCGATAAGCCTGGAAGCGGAACTTGGTACTATTTTCCCTGTATGAATAAAAGAACATTTCATCGGAAAGAAATCGAAAACATACTTAAATCTTCGATTTTATGCTTTCAGTTTGACGAAAAAGATCAACTTCCAATTTTTATTTTTTACAGATTAGTTCTGAAATGTTTCAAGCTACCAAACTGGAGATTTGCAATAGAGAAGGAAAAAAGGTGTTTATACGATAATGTAGCATGTTTTTGCTTCAAGGAACACGTGCTGGTAGTGTTATGTTTATGCAATTTTCAAATCCAGGTGCAAGTTTGTGTGCCAGAGGATGGCGTCATAAATCCTATAGACCTTAAAACCATACAACAGTCCATTGAAATGAAGTTACAGGAGTTTAAAAAGTGTTCATACAGAGTTGGCTACAAATGCCGAAATGATTTGTTGTATGATGAGAGTGACAACTCTTTCATTAACAGGACTCTCTTCCTTTGAAGCCAACACTTTGCAGTAAATGCAGTGTTAGAGAAAAACACAATTTAGACAAAGTTTATGCTGGGTATGTTTGGTTTGTTTTAACAAATACGGTATTTCATGCTTAACTCTTCATCAAATGAAAGAAATAAAAAGTAATTCAAGAAAACAATTTTTGAATTTTTCATAAATACGGTATTTCTACCCGTACTCTTATACAAACAAAAAAAAAAAAAATATAAATAAGCAAGGTATTAAAAGAATTTATGCATTGTATGACTTATACTAGTAAGGCCTTGATTTTTTGTTTAAATTTTTCCAGATAAAAAGAGGAAAAACAAATGAACCAGGTTGGTATCAATTAGAATCTTTTTGCTTTGAAAAAATGTAGAAACGTATTATGAACTGCAAAAGAGAAGTTGATTGAAAATACATTGGGGAAATACATAGTATTTAATAATTTATATATATTTTTTTCTTAATTCTTAATTTTTGATAGTGAATAGTTTTTACGATTTAATACAAAATGAAATATTTCATAAGCAATACATTTACTGCCTTTCAAAATATTGGATAAAGTAGGGAAAACGCTAGAACATCGGCCAGGTTCTATACCACATATTTTGCCAAACACTAATATCATATATATTAAAGCAGGGTAGTCAGGAAGAGCAAATAAAGACTTCTTTGGAGAGAGCCAACGGTAAAGAGTTAAGAGTCAAAGTCCATTAAAAATTTACTAAATTAAGTTAAAAGATAACGTATTCTTTACTTTTAACTACTGTGGATGAAATTGCTGATATCCTAAAGCAAGAAATTAAAATATTTATCAATCACGCGAATCTTTCTATATACATATATATATATAGAAGCTGTAATGATGCATTGGACAATGCTGCGCAGTTTACAAACACGGGCGTTGTTGAGACTAAACACACACACACGCTTTAGTGCATAATTTAATGCAGCTGTCAACACTCTTGAATACAACCGATGGTCAAATCGATATTTTTCGGTAAACGTAATTTTATCTCAAGTATATTATAATTTTAAACATTGTTAATAGCAATTTGTATTGGGATGCGATGCTTCTCTTTTGCGGTTCAGTAGATAATAGACCTTATTATGGTTTGTTTCTTAAATTTGTTTTCATATATTTGTAATCGTGTATATCGGGTATGCCTAAAAAACTATAGGGTATGTTAATTAATAATGTAAGAAGTATCGATTAATAAGCTTGCTTATTTAATCCACATGCGTAAAGATACAATGTTTGCTAGTTACATGTAGCTGTTACTCATTCATTTTATCTTTTACAAGATAATAAACCAACCTATTTAACGCATGTGGAACAAAACGACGAAGGATTTGGATCCATAAAAAGCATCTGGGATTCTTGCGTAGCAGGAAATACAGAAAATTTTTTCTTCATCATGAAAAACGAAATTCAAGGTAGAGAACACCTGTTGAGAAAAACTGACAAAGACGATTGGAGTGCTGTTCATTTTGCAGCAAAAGGTGGAAATCTTGAAATATTTTCAGCTCTGATTTCCGACAAAGCTATTCTTCTGAAAACAAATGAACAAATGACAGTTTTACACATTGCAGCAAAGTACAGTAATTATGATATTTGCAAGTTCATTTTAGAGAACGATGAATTCAGGGAACTATTAAGAGAAAAGTCATGTCTAGGAAAAAATGCTTGTCATTATGCAGCAGAGGGCGGGTCTCGCAAAATATTAAAGTTGTTAGTGAAGAATAAAGAACTAAATGTAAACGAAACAACAAATGATGGTCAAAACATATTCCATATTGCTTGTATTCATGGCAATTTAGACATGTGTCAATTCATTGCAGAAAATTATAATAAATTGATTTCTGCAGTAGACAATGATGCATGGAATGCAACGTTGTACGCTGCAAAACAAGGTCACATACACATTTTGAAATTTCTTAGGGCAAACGGTGTTAGTTTCAACAATCAGTCAAAAAGCAAGAGAAATGCCCTTCACATTGCATGCGATAATGGACATAAACCCGTCTGTGAATTTATAGTAAAAGTTTGCCCTTCATTGCTGGAAGAGAAAGATTATAAAGGCAGGCATGCGGGTCATTTTGCTGCAAGAAGCGGCAATGTTCCTACAATGAAATTCCTAAACGATGCGAAGCTTGACGTCACAAAAAGTACAGAGACTGGGTTGAATATCCTTCATTATGCATGCCTGTATCGCCGAAAGGAAATGTGTTTATATCTTCTGGACACTTTTCCTCACCTGAATGTGCAAAGAACACAACACGGATGGACCACCGCTCATTTCGTTGCTGAAAAAAAAGTGAATTTGGGAAATGAAATAGAGATATTTGAAATCATCACAAACGCCAAAGAAAACTGTAGAATTGAAGAGGTCACACACAAAAGAAATTCAATTCTTACATTGGCAATAAAAAATAATTTCTATGAATTTTGTGAATACCTTTTACAGACTCATCCAGATATTTTAGATATTCCAGGGGCAATTCATCCAAAGGATATAGAAAAGAAAGACACAAAAATGTCCAATATTATTGAACGTTATATCAAGTTGAAATAGGATTTCGTTCGCCGTCGGTCAATTCAAGTGTTACATAAAAGTTTTAAAATTCAGAGAATTCAAAACTAACTATAACAAGTATTTCAATGGTGCTGCCGTGGATGCCAAATTTAGTTAATTGTGAACTTCTTTTAAAATTATATTTTTAAGAAATATTTTTCTACAGCAAGCATTTTGCTACTTCTTCGCTTCTCTACTAATTTCAATAAAATATACAAATTGCAGGAGGTTTGTTATGTTCATTGTAAAAAGAAAATAAGTAAAAGTCTTTTTATGAGGTTTCTTTTTCACTTCAGTTAAACTAAAAACTGAAAAGGTAGACGAACCAATTAAAACAATTCAAATAAAGGAAGGTGTTGCTTTTTTCAGGAGGCTAAGGGGGCAACAAAGTAACCAACATATTTAACTTCATTTTTTTAGATGCGATATCTTAAGCTATAAACTATCATTTGGCAAAAAAAATTGAAACATTTTTTTTAATATCTTCTTATGGAGCTCTTCTTCTAACAAAGAATAATATAGTCCTACAATGGCCACAATCCCTTAATCCTCTGACGTACGAAATAGTGAAAAAAAATACTTTATATGTGTTCCATTTCATTTGCTTAAAATGAAACTGCCACGCAAGTTTGGTTTACGATGTCTTTTTTTTTTATTGGTTTATCTATTTTAAAAAATATAACATTTAAATAAGACTTCTGTAAGGGATAAAAAAAAACGAGATGGTGTTGAATAGTTTAGAGAAAACATTCTCTCCGAGGGCCGAAGGTCAGAGGAGGGGATGTTTTCTCTAAACTATTCAACACTATCGAGTTATTTATCTTACTTTAAAAAATTCCCTACTTTGGGCCCCAAAGAAACATTTATCCATTCAAATATCCAACTAGCCGTAATAGAATAGGATGTAGCCCATTCAAATATCCAACCGTGACACAAAACAAAAGCCTAATCCAACACCCCTTTTATTCATGGACTAGTGAGCATGAAACTACGTGGTGCTGATTTCATTTTAACCCTTTTCATTGTACTGAACACTCATGAAAGCAGACGAAGAATATTTTAAATCCAATGTAAATCAGAGAGGTTCAGGTAGTGTTTTGAATACTTATGACCTGAAAGCTGAAGAAAACTACAGAATTTTTATAAAAGATTGGGAATTTGTCATTACATATCATAAGATGATGGTTTGTTGAGGAAAAGCGTTGAATTCTTATGGAGTTCCATTCGGACAATACGTGTAATAGTGCTTAAACAGATAAAAAGATTGGCGGTGTTATGCTGAACCTGCTGTAAAAGATTCATTTTCAAGATCTGCAATCAAAATGGTGTCGAAAAATAGCTGATCTCTCAATTATTTAAGTTCTTTTGGGAAGTACGAAGAATGAAACAGATATGAATCTCGGATAATCTGAAGGGATTTACTGAAAACAGACCCTGAAATAATATTCAGCAAGAAGAAGTTATGTAGTTTAAGATTCAAATGGTGAAAATGTATTTATGTGTTAAAAGGTGATGATTTTAAGATTTAAGCAGGGAAAGAAAAACTTTAGGTTACTTGGTATTGAATTTGATATAGATTTGCAGAAAATACTTTCGAGGAATCTCAGTTCAAAGTTAGAAAACATAAAGAAAATGATAAGACATTGGAAACGTAGGAATCTCACACCACTAGGACGATTAACAGTTTTGAAAACACTTTTATCGCCAATATTGAATCATATTTTTGCCTCTCTTCCAAATCCCACTGATTTATATATAAAAGATTTAGAAAACACCTTTTATTCTTTTGTAATGGGAAGTAATGCTTTTAGACTTAAAAAACGAGTTTGTATTAAAGATCTTAAAGATGGCGGTTTCAAGATGATTAGTATTAAAGAGTTTATTATGTCTCTGAAACTTGTATGGATATTTAACTTTAGATTTAAAAAAATAGTTTTTTGTGGAGAAGAATACATTCTTAAGAAAATAAAAGATGTGAAAAAAATTGTTTTGGAAAAATGTTTTCAAGCCGGGCGATTTTTTTCTAAAAAAATTACCAGAACCAGAAGCAAGTGCATCTATAATAATAATAATGATAATAATAATAATACTTTATTTAAAGAAGGTAGCCCGATTAGTGCACGCACTATTCTTCCCCGGGGCCTTCTGTAGACAAAAAACAATGTACATACATATACAAATATACACAATCAAATAAATAATCATAAGTTATTTCGACATTGTTTTACAAATATTTTGATTTGATGTTTGAAAGCATTCAGTGTTTGAGACATTTTTATATGTACAGGTAAATTATTCCATAAGATAGCACCAGAGTATTGAAAGGAGTTCTCAAAAAGTTTACAGCTACGAGCTGGTACACACAGGTCTAAATTAGATTCTGATCGAAGATTGTATTGATTATTACACTGGAAGTTAAACATACTATTTAAATAAGTAGGGTGAGAGTTAAACAATGATTTATATAACAAAACATATTTATTTACAATAAGTTGCTCATACACTGTGAGCCAATCTAGTTTCTCAAAGAGAGGTTGTGAGGGCGCATCAGGAGGAGCATCTAAAATACATCTTGCAGCTTGTTTTTGAAGCTTATATACTCTGTCAAGATTTGAGTGCGATGTATTACCCCAAATAGTTAAACAATAATCAACTGAAGGCATAATATATGCATTGTAAAATAGCTTGCGTATTTCAGTTGGAAGATACTTTTTAATTCTACGGAGGGCTGAAATTTTACGTGACAGTGTTTTACAAACATGGTCAATATGTACATTGTATTGTAAAGAATTATCTAAATAAACTCCAAGAATTTTTTCATTTGATATTATATCAAGTTTTTTGCTTGATACAAATAGATTTATTTCATGCTCAGGAAAATTTGATCTCTTTTGATGCGTACCGACTAACATGCATTTGGTTTTGTAGCATTTAGAACCATTTGATTTTGAGAACACCATTTTTCTATTGAAGCTATATCCGTTGATAATGTATCTACAACAGTTTGAGAATCTTTACTTGATGTATGTAAAGTAGCATCATCTGCAAATAATTCTAATTTGGATTTTGTAATACATAAAGGAAGATCATTAATGTAAAATAAAAACAGAAGGAGCCTAGTATAGATCCCTGTGGAACTCCCGCTGTGACTTGCTGATAAGATGAATGTTTGTTGGACAGATGGACACTTTTGAAGTCTTTCACTTAAGTATGACCTGAACCATTGTAAAGTTGTTGCATCAAAGTTATAACATTGTAGTTTTTTAAGGAAAATATCATGATTGACAAGGTCAAAAGCTTTACTGAAATCAAGAAAAACAGTACCAACAAGTTTACCTTGGTCCATTTCATTTAACCATTCATCAGTAATTTTAGTAAGGGCTGTTTGGCAAGAATGTAGTTCTCTGAAGCCTGATTGAGAATCTACTATAAGATCAAAATCCGAAAAAAAGAGATCGTATATATTTTGCAACATGTTTTTCAATAATTTTTGATAATGTTGGTAAAATAGAAATAGGCCTATAATTATTTGGATCTAATCTGTTTCCTTTTTTAAAGACTGGGGTAACTTTTGCAAGTTTAAAACTGTCGGGGAAAATACCAGTTAAGATACTGGTATTTATAATGTGGGTCACAGGTTTATGTATTATTTGTGAAGTAAGTTTCAATAGACGTGGCCCGATCGATGGTATCAACACCTGAAGATTTACTTGTATCTAGTTTATTGAGTTGATGAGTAGTAATTTTAGGCTCAAAAGTAATGAAGTGATTTATTATTAAATGTCCAGAGTTACAGGCATTTGGATGCATTGCCCAGACTAGTCAAGCTGTGTTAGGGTAATTAAAAGTAGAGCAGTGTCTAGTGTGGTCAAGAATAATGAGTCTTTAATGAGTGGAGCAATGGGAGCTATTGTTCGTAGAATCGGGAGCCGTGTATTGAGTTAAGGTCAAGCAAGGTTATGACAGTTTGATAAGGATTTGATAAAGATATATGTAGAGTTGGAGTTAGTTAATTAATAGGATGGAGCTAATGTTTTAGATAATGATCTATTGGAGCTAAGATTAGTATATAATAAGTGTGACATTTTTAGAAGGGGGAGTGCTTTGCTAGGATTTAGACAGTACATATGCTAGCATAAATGTAACATCTTTCGTTTGTATTATGCCTCCTCATTGTATATATGTAAATAAATTAGTGCACTGTTTACTGACTTTTTATTGGATTTAGCATTACAAGGATTTATCAACCAAGGATATCTTAATTATAATTGGATATATACTCAGTGGAATTAAAAAGTTATAATTGCTCGGTCACCTCCGTGACAGAGTAAAGTTAGTACTTCGTCATGATTTATGAGTGGGATAGAAAACTTGTCTGCGCCCAATTTAGACTTAACAAAATCTAAAAGATTTGTAAAGTCATTTTCCTCCTTATTTATGTCTGAAAGAAGTTCTACAGAAATATTTGAAAAATGAGAATTAAACAATTCTACTATTTCTTGTGTATCCTCTGTGATATAATTATTTTTAGCAAGTGCAGCTGGAATATAATTACGAGATTTAGAAGCTAAACTGTTTAATACACATTTGTTTTGAGTTTTTATTTAGTTCTATAGCTGTTTTGTAATAATTAATCTTGGCGTTTTCAATTAGTGATGTGACTTTATTGCGCCATATTTTGAAATTTTCAAAGTCTTTATTTTTATGGAGGGTATCACGCATGTGTTGAGCTTGCAGAATTTCCGGAGTTAACCATTTAGGTCTTGTGTCGTGCTTAACTCTCTTTGTTTTTACTTTTGCATGTTTGTTTAATACAGCATTAAAAAGTGAATGAAATTTGTTGAGTGCTTCATTAGGGTCTGAAATATAATTCCAATGATTGGAAATTTACCTCTTTTAAGTCTGCAAGAAAATTATTTTCATTAAATTGTTTATTAAAGTCTCTGTATGTTATTTCTGTGTGTTTGAATTTATTGATGTTATTATTTAATTTTCTCGTA